GCCTAATTTTCCTAATCTCTCCACATAACTTAACACCTGAAGTCTGAGTATCATCCTTGTACACCCGAGGTGAACTCCCTCCAGGGTCATAACATCCTTCCTAAGGTGTAATTCCCTGATCTGCTCTCAGTACTCCGAGTGGGGTCTAACTACGATTTTGTATAACTGCAGCATAATGTCTGTATCCCTAACCTCCAGCCCTTTCAATATAGAGGCCAGCACTCCATTAGCCTTCTTGACTATTTTCAGCATGTGTTCATGGCATTTTAAAGAGCCATGCACCTAAATCCCCAAATTTCATTGGACATCCACGGTATTTAACTTTGAGCATTCTAAAAAATACCCTGATCTATCCCCTTTTGGTCTGAAATGGATAACCTCACACTTGCTTATATTAAAATCCATCTGCCATAGCTTTGCCCATTCCCCCAATCTATCAATATCCTGTTGTAATTTTATGCTGTTGTCAACACTGTCTACAATGCTGCCTAATTTTGTGTCATCAGCAAATTTGGATAAATTACTTTTTATGCCATTATCCAAATCATTAATGAATATTGTAAATTTCTGAGGCTGCCACTAATCACATCCTGCCAGTTTGAGCACTTAGCTATTATTCCAACTCTCTTCTCCTGCTACTCTCTGCTACTCAACCAATTTCTATCCATGCCAGTAATTTGTGCTCAGTTCTGAGGGCTTCCACCTGAGCTAACAGTCTCTTGTGTAGGACCTTATCAAAAGCACCTGGAAGTTCATATAAACAACATCCATCAACTTACCTCTGTCCACCATCTTTGTCACCTCTCCAAAAAACTCTATGAAGTTTGTTAGGCCTGACCTAACTTTAATGAATCCACGCTGATTCTCCTTGATTAACTGATGCTTTTTGAGGTCTATCCTTGATTATAGACTCTAACAATCTCCCCACCACAGATGTCAGGCTAACTGATCTGTAATTCCCTGGTTTCCCTCTGACACCCTTCTTAATGAGTGGAGTAACATGAACAAATTTCCAATCCAGAGACACAACTCCTGAATCCAGGGAACTCTGAAAGATTATGGTGAAGGCATCAAAAATGCACTCTCTACCTCCTTTAACACCTGTGGGTGGAAACCATCAGGTCCTGGGGATTTGTTTCTCTTCAGTTCCATTAATTTCCTGATTATTGATGATCCACTTAAGGCCATTTTATTTCGACCTTGTCTCTGGTCCCCTGTTAGTTTCTTTGGCAAGCTGTCCTCCTTTTCTGCTATGAATATTGAGGCAAAATTGTCAGTTAGTATGACTGCCATTTCCCCGTGTTCACTAGCAAAATCTCAGCCTTCAGTTGGCCTATAGTCCTCTTTACTAAGTAAAACCTGAAAGAACTGTGGTTGCTGTAAATCAGGAACAAAAACAGAAGTTGCTGGAAAAGCTCAGCAGGTCTGGCAGCATCTGTGAAGGAAAAAACTGAGTTAACGTTTCGGGTCCGGAACTTTGAACTACCCCTGGACCCCCTGAGCTACCCCCAGCTCCCTGACCTATCTCCGGATCCCTGACCTACCCCCAGATCCCTGACCTACCCCCGGCTCCCTGACCTACCCCCGGATCCTTGACCTACCGCTGGCTCCCTGACCGACCCCCAGCTCCCTTACCTATCCCCGGATCCCTGACCTACCCCCGGATCC